AAACTAGGAAATTTACAAATTTCTTCAGATTCATGAAATTAGTAGAAGGCCAGGAATTGGGACCATAATGCTTTGATTCTCAATCCTCTTCTCCCTCTAATAAATTAAAACTTGCAAGGTAGGGATCAGGGTAACTAAAGGAATGGGACAGGGGACTTTACTTTTTTACTATTCCTTTTGATTTTTAACCACATAATTCTTTTACCTATTTAGAATAAATTTAAAATATTTAAAGTAAAATAAAATGTCTACCTTTATACATGTGGTATATAAATGTGGGTCTTTACAAAGTGTCTTTTTGTTTTAAATGTCAGCTTGCTTGCTAGTTATTAGTTTTCACAAAACAGAAGACTTCACCTAGCATGCAATTATTCATAAGCTTACACACACACACACACACACACACACACACACACACAAAATGTAGTTCTATATACTGGTAAATAAATATATGTTAATCCCATTTATTTTCGTTTTCTAGAATAATGATCTTCAAACATTTTTTGGTAATATTTTCCAATATGTATCTATACTTCAATTATGTGTAACGTATATTTATAATTATAATAATTACATGGACCACCGAATTAATGTGTACATTATAAAACATTAACAAAAGTTGATTTTTGGCCCGGCTCATGTGGCTTAGTGTTTGAGCATCAACTCATTAACCAAGAGGTCACCGGTTCCATACCAAGTCAGGGCACTTGCGAGGATTAGAGATTGATCTCCAATAGGGGGCATGAGGAGGCAGCCGATCGATGTTTCTGTCTCTTTAACCCTCTCCCTTCCTATCTTTCTAAAATCAATAAAAACGTTTATTTTTTTAAAGTTGACATTTGTAAAAATAAAAACTCAACAAGGTAAACAAATTAAGAGAAGAAATTCTAAAGCTTTTTCTCTACCCCAGTAGTTTATCTTGTGCCTCCTGGGATGCAGCCACCCTACTTGGATGCTGTATTAGAGTGTTTCAATTAAGAGCTGATGAAGAATCTCAAACATTTAATCTGTTGAAGTGCCCACATGTTCACCAAACTTAGTGAAAACATTTAGCGATCTCTAACTTCAACTCGCTACCCTGTTTTAAATTTCTTAAACACAAAGCAATAAAACTGGCTCCATAAACACATTACTTCATCAGTTTCTCACAACTGTAATCAGAGCCTCTGACCGTCAGAATCACATCACTAGTATACATAAGACTCTTTCAAAACAGACATTTTTTGTCATAACCTTAAGACAAAATGGGAACCATCAGTGTGGCTCAGTGGTTGAGTATCAACCTGTGAACCAGGAGGTCACGTTCAATTCCCATTAGGGGACATGCAGAATGCAGCCAATCACTGATTCTCTCTCATCATTGCTGTTTCTATTTCTCCATCTCCCTCTCTGAAATCAATCTAAAAAATGTTTTCTTTTAATGGTAGAGGGTATGTGTACAGATTTGGGAGAAACTTAAAATAGTAATGACCATCACAAAACTGACTAATTTCTGTCTTTAAAAAATGGTAAGGCAACTGAAAAACAAAATAGAAACAGAGGCATGAATACATTTAAAAAGTGTTAACAGAAAATTGTGATAAGAACCATACAACATTATGCTATTATCTGGAGACTTTTTACGGTTAGTCCCCTTGTTCAATACAATGTAATGACTGGCTCCTATCTGGGTTTAAGCAGCTGAAAACTAGCACTTGAGTGATCCCTGCCAAAGGTGAAAGGTTTCCATGGAGTTCTCCGAGTTCCCAGGAGCGCGAAGCAGAACCTCCCTGTTCAGTGCCCCACAAGAACCTGCAGTGCGCTGGGCACCCAGGGTGATGCAAAGTTGAATGAGACCCTGACTTTTTAGGTCAAGTGACATTTAGGAATTAATAACTCGATCATGGAGAAAAGTTCCTACTTAAGAGCAGAATACTGGAAATAATTATCTGCCGGGGAAAACAGGACCAGGCTTCCTAGAGGGAAGACCATTTGATCTGGACGATGAAGGTGAATTGTAGTTCAGAAAGAGGAGGAGTGGGAAGGTAAAGAAGCCAAGGAAAGAGAAATTAACACTGAGCACCCAACTGGGTGAATGTGTATTATCTCGTGTAACCGTCAGGAAAACCTTGAAGTGAGAAACTAATGTGGAGAAACTGGCTCAAGAAGGTTGAGGAACTAGCACAAATCACACATGCAGTTCTCTGCAGAGCTTGATTCAAGGCTGCATAGCTAGGTGAGGGCCGTGTAGTGATACCAACATTTCACTGTGTATTATTCGTGAGGATACAGAGGAGTTGCACTTACCAGGACTGTTCTTAGGAAGCATAGTATATGTGTTGAGAAAATAAAGAATGCGTAAGCTATTTGGGATGCGGATGTCGTCGGGGTCTCAGGAGGGCATGCTGGCATAGCTGGTTGTTTCAAAGGGGGATATTTTCCTGAATGAGGCTGCAGCTTTTCCTGTAATACTCAGGAGTCTCTTCTTTAAGTAAATGTTTAACAGATATTTAAGGGCTATTCATTTAAAAGGGCTCCAACTAATAATGTGCTCAGGACCCCACTTGTTCTTGAGTGATTATAGAAGGGTTAATCCTTAATCTGCTTAACTCCGAAGCCATTGCTGTCTGAGATATACAGTGCTGCCTATGGCATGAAACTGGCGTGCAGACAGACAGGCAGATAGGCAACCAACAGAGAGATAGATGCAGAGATTGGGGAAGAACTAAATGGTGATTCTAAAGATTGTGCTGCTGGTCTTCTCCCAGGAGTGTCTGATTGTAATCTTAATGTTGTATTTTCTTCAGCTTTTTATCATAACCACAAATTTTTCAGATAGCTTAACTCCTATGAGGAACAAGATGAGGTAAGAATGAGTGAACCCGTAAGTCTCTGTTAAATCTTCCACTGTGTATTTGTCATTCTCAGGGAATTACTACAATCAAGGAGAGATTCGTAAGAAAGAACTTTTGCAGAGCTGTGATGTTTTGGGGATTCCACCCACCAATGTAATGATTATTGACAGCAGGTAATTCATCTGTATTAAAGATTTGATTGACAACACATCTAGTGTTTCACTATATTAGCTGCTGCTTATGAAATATATTCTTTATCATGTTAAACGCTGTTGGGAAGTGATGCTCACTTGCTCACTGTGTTAGATTGAGCGAGGAGGGAGCTCCTGTTCACATCAGTGCCCTACAAAGAGATAAGGGAAAGTTTCGATTTATTCCCAGTTTTACTTGGCTCAGGGTAAACTGTTGGGATCATCGTGGGGGACCTTCTTCTCTGTCAGTGCCCGTGGATTTTGTAATGCTTTTGAAAGTACAAATCTGGGGCCAGACTGCCGGGACTAAAACCCCAGCTTCTTCAGGTTATTAACTGTGCATGTGGGGAAGTTGCCTAGTCTCTGTTCCTAAACTTCGCCCTCAGTAACCCTTGGGAGATACATGGTTTTGAGTCAATTTGTGAAATAAATCATTGCTCACTTATTTTCAAAGATGACATACTTCCCTTGTACACTGTGGTTATACATTGTGATTTATTTTCTCAACGTTAATGATAATATTAATGGGCTTCTCTGCTCAGGCACCCCATTTGCACACAGACTCCTGCCTGTGCAGTTGGCTCAGCAATGCAAGATGTTTTTTGAGGATTAGATCTGAGTTGTGAGAACTGTAGTCAAACCAAAGATCTCAGTTCCGTTATAAAGTTCCTTACTCTTGTCATGTCATCATTTTTTACATGTTTTCTGTATCCTGAAGATCATACAGCTTCAACAAGTACTTGTTGAAATGCTACTGTAGAGGTGTAGTAAACTTGTTAAGAATAAATTTGTCAAGAAGCCAGTTTGAAGATGCAAAGAAACCATGTACCTTGGTCTGCTCAGGCGACCATAGGAAAGTACCAGTAGGGTGGCTTCAACAACAGCCATGTGTCATCTCAGAGTTCTGGAGGCTGGAACTCCCAGATCACGGCCCCGATGGGTGGGCTCTGGAGAGGATTTGCTTCTTAGCTTGGAGGCGGCCGTCCTCTCACCATATGCTCACATGGAGGGGGAGAGAGGAGAGAAATTTCCCTTTCTCTTCGTAGGCCACCAGTCCTATAGGATTAGGGTTCTACCATTATGACCTCACTTAACCTGAATTACTTCCTAAAGACCCTATCACCAAATACAGTCACATTGGGGGTTAATGCTTCAACAGATGGATTTGGGGAGGATGCAGTCAGTTCCTAGCAACATGCAACCTTTAGTCTTTCAGTCTCTAACTTCATAATCCAGAAAAGGCAGAGCTTTAGAATTTTATTTCAGGTGATTTAAATGAGTCAAAGAGAAGAATGAAGGGTAAGAAGAGAAAGGAACGTTTTATGGAGGGCCTATACTCATAATAATGATAGCAAATATATATTAAATCATCATTGTCAGTACCCAAAACCATACTAAATACATGATCTTAATGCTTAAAGTAATACAATTACTTGCCTGATCTTATAGATAAGAAACTGAGGAATAGTGAGAGATTGAGTAATTTGCCCATTGTCATCCAGCATAGGTGGTACAGAGCTGGCGTTTGAATTGAAGCAGTTTGGCTCCAGAGCCTATGCTTCCGCCACTAGATTTTATGCCCACTCCATGCCTGACAAAGGCCATCTTGTGTAGTTTTTCCACTATTGTGCAAGAAAGGTTTTATTAGCCTTTTTGTTTCACTCAAAGAAACTAAAGCTCGTAGACATTGAGAGAATCCTCAGAGGCCTTGCCAGTGTGCGCAGTTGGTTGAGCATTGTCCTGTGCACCAAGAGGTCACCTATTCAATTCCTGATCAGGGTAGCAGGCACAATCTCCAGTAGGGAGCGTGCAGGAGGCAGCCAATGGATGTTTCTATCGCCATCTCCCTTCCTCTCTCTCTAAAATCAATAAAAACATTTTTTTTAAAGAAAAAAAAAAAGAGAATCCTTGCCTGGCCAGCATGGCTCAGTGGTTGAGCACTGACTTATGAACCAGGAGGTCAAGGTTTGATTCCCAATCAGGGCACATGCCCGGGTTTCAGGCTCAATCCCTTGTGTGGGGTGTGCAGGAGGTGCCGATCAATGATTCTCTCTCATCATTGATGGTTCTATCTCTCTCCCTCTCCCTTCCTCTCTGAAATCAATAAAAATATTTTTTTTAAAAAAATTTTTTAGCCCTAACCGGTTTGGCTCAGTGGATAGAGCGTCAGCCTGCGGACTCAAGGGTTCCAGGTTCGATTCCGGTCAAAGGCATGTACCTTGGTTGGGGACATGTCCCCAGTAGGGCATGTGCAGGAGGCAGCTGATCGATGTTTCTCTCTCATCGATGTTTCCAACTCTCTATCCCTCTCCCTTCCTCTCTGTAAAAAATCAATAAAATATATTTTAAAAAAAAATTTTTAAAGAGACCCCTCAGAGGTTTAGTAAATGGCAGTGCTAGAATTCTGCAGGAAAGAAAGCCACCACTTTGTTACTGCACTTGAAGACTAGTGTATTATCTGAATGCATTTAATGATATTGTGCATGGTCAGTTTCCTTCCATTGTTCTGAACTTCATTGCTAGATTTCTAGGAGATAGTTAGCAAGAGGAGCCTACCAAGTAAACCCCTTATCTAATTTCTTAAAGTGGGGGAAAATTCAGTTCTCAAGAAAAGAAGGCATAATTTCAGTCATTAGACACCTAAATGGATACTTTCAGTAATTCTACCCAGTTCCTTAATATCTATGGGTTCTGTTAACTTAATGAGTCATATGATATTGAAATGCATGTTGTTAATAATACATAGTCAATGCCTGGAATGGGCAAGGCACTGTAATAGATGTTGAAGAAAGAGCAGAGCAGTTCAAGATGCGGGAGCTGAATAGTAGGTGCTGGCCTGGCAGTCGCCACTGCTGCGTTTGTGGAAGGCTGTTTCACTGCGATGCTGAAAGCCAGGCTAGGAGAGCAGTTAGAGATGGTCCCGGAAGCATTTAGGAATTGTATGTGATTAGAAAATGCAACCTGTGGATTTAGAACTCATTTGTTGGGTTTGTGCTTCTTAATATAAATCCATAGAATTATTTATATTTCAAAGCAAAAGAAAACGAAAAGCACCCACATATTTTTGTATACATAGATAATTTCTAAAAGGATACATACCTTAAAGTAGCTTCTACTTAATTGGGGCTTGAAAGAGGAATGCTTTCATTTTATTTAATTTCAGAGATTTCTGTACAGTTTGCTTTTTTAAAGGAAGCCTTTATGACTTTAAAATATATATATATACATTTTTAAGACATCCCACATATCTAATAAAACATTCTCTCTCTACTCAGTTTCTGTCCATACAAGTCATGCTAAGTTAGAATTAAATCTGTGTATATTTTGATACTTGATTTGGTAAATTCAAAACAGAATAGAGTTCCTTGAAAAAATAAATACTGCTCTTAAGCCTTTTTATAGACACTATGGTCTTCTCATGGGCCTCCTTCTGGCAAATGAGTGGGAAGAGGATCAGATATACTGGCCCAAAGTATTCTGACTAGAAATGGTGGGGATTCGAAGAGGCCTGATTGTGACGGAATAAAACAAAACAGATTCTCCTGTTATAATCTAGGACCACTAAAGTACTCTGGGCCCAATGACCTGTTGTTTGGCAAAACTTGCAAGGTCTTGAAGCTATTTGTGGTCTGATCCTGGTCTCCCTGCTCAACCCTGTCATCCAGCCCTGTTTTACCCACATCACATCCATTCCCATAAAAATAGGTGGGACTGCCCAGTACCCCCATCTGTGCCTCCTCTGCATCTCTGGCCTCCTATTTAAGCAGGGCCTCAAAGGTACCACACTTTCTTATGTGTGCACACCTTTGCCTGTGCTGGTCCCTGCCTCTCACATGCTTCCTCACTTCTCCACACCCCTTACCTTGTCTCTAGCCAACTCCTATTCATACTCAAACCTCAGTTCAAAGATTACCTTAGATTCTGGCACCATCCTGATTTGCCCAGATTTTCTTGGAAACTTGCATTATATTCTCATTGTACTCCTATATCCTAACATGCACGTGAAGTGTTACTCTATGCCAGGAGCCCCTCTGTATTTTTCTTCCTGTATCTCTAACCTCTCTCTAACCCTTGATACGTAGTAGTTTCTCAGCACATGTTTGTTGAATAAATGAATGGCTCCACGTATACTGTAAACTTTCTTCCTGGGGCCCGCCTGTAAACGTGTAACCTTGAAGAACTTGAATGGATGCCTATGCGTCTCAACCTTCTTCTGTCGCTTTTTCTTCATTCACTCAGAAATGGTAATTAACAAACCATTTTTTAAGACACATGAAATTGTTTTCAAATTATTTAATTAAATAAAACTGTCTAGATTCCTGATTTGCATAGTTATTTTTAACTCTTTGAAAAGTTCTAAATTAGTATTTCAGTTTGGAAGGATTTTTCTATGTCTCTTTATTTTGCCATTCTATATGTTTGGCGACATTGTCATAAGGTTTCAGCACATTAAAAAATCTCCTTTTTCCCAGTGCTTGTCTTAACAAGTCTTTTACAGACTAATTTTAGCAGAACAAGGAAATAGATTCCAGTAAACATAAATGAGCCTGGCTTACTAGCAGTTCCTGGAAGTCTTTGTGTTTTCCAATAAATGCATGCAAATCATATAGTGAAAGAAGCCACGAGGCAGTCTGGCGCTGTTGGGGTTACATTGGTAATTAAACCCCCCTCTCCTTTGGGGGCCGAGAAGAGCTTTCCCGGTTCAGAAAGCAAAAGACCGTATGCTGGCTGCCAAAGTGGGTCTGACCAGCGTCCTCACTGTAGAGATGAAAATAGAGCCTCCTGCAATTCCCTTCTCCAAATACACGGAGAGTGACTCAGCCAAAGCTCAAGGGCACAGTGCCAGTCCCAGTTGGCAGGAACAAGGCAGGGCTCCCATCCTCCCATGAGGTGCAATGGACAAGAATGTTTCCTAGAAAAGAAACCAGGGAGGAGACTGAATGGGCCCAGCTGATGTGGAGCTGTTATGTGGAAACCGAAAG